TTTATATCATTTATAGACGATTACTCAAGTTATAGGTACCTATATCTCATCCATGAAAAGATTGAGTCACTTGACGTGTTTAAAGCTTTTAAAATTGAGGTTAAGAATCAACTCAAAAAAAGGATAAAAAGCATTAGGTCTAACCGTGGTGGTGAGTACTATGGCAGATATGACGATTCAAGTGAATAATATCCAGGACCATTTGCTAAATACCTAGAGAAATGTGAAATCGTCTCACAATACACCATGCCAAGATCGCCCAGCTTGAATGGTGTAGCTAAAAGATGAAACAAAACTCTTAAAGATACGGTAAGGAGTATGATTAGTCATTCCACCTTACCAAAATCACTCTGGGGAGAGACATTAAAGGCCACAACTTATAATCCGAACAAAGTATCAACTAAGGCTGTTGCCAAAATACCTTATGAGCTTTGGACAAGTAGAAAGCCTAGTCTAAAGTATTTTCATATTTGGGGATGTTCAGCTGAGGCTACGCCTTATAGGCCATATGAAAAGAAATTGGATTCCAAAACAGTGAGCAGCTATTTTATTGGTTACTCCGAGGGATCTAGGGGCTATAAATTTTATAATCCCACACTTAAGTCAATTGTTAAAATGGACATAGCAACATTTTTTGATGATGTTAAGTTTGGGAGGAGAAATAAGGTTAGAGATATTGTCTTTGAGGAAGAAGTTGAGGAAGGATCGATTCCGATTCTTAATATTGCTTTTGACAATATACAGGTTTCTATGCCAATGTTGATCAACAAGTATATCCAGAACCTCAACAAGACAATGTTGAAGAACCTTCCATCCAAAATGAGGTAACTATTCTAGAAGTATAAACTCAATAACCTCAAGAATTAATACCATTAAGGAGATCCATGATAGAAAGGAAAAGTGCTATTTGGTTGATTTTATAGTATTCTCCAAGAACATGAGGAAAATAATGGATGGCAGAAGATGATTTAATCAATTTCCATCAGGCTATGTAGGGTTCTAACTCTCAAAAGTGGATTGATGCCATGAATGAGGAGTATAAGTCTATGCAAGATACTAAAGTTTGGGATCTTGTCGCATTACTCGAAGGTGTGAAGTCCATTGGTTGAAAATGGATTTTTAAAATCAAGAGAGATTTGAAAGGTAATGTAGAAAGATATAAGGCTCATCTTGTGGCTAAAGGCTTTACCCAAAAGTAAGGCATCTATTTCAAAGAGAATTTCTCTCCAATTTCAACAAAAGACTCTTTCAGGACAATTATGACACTTTTTGCGCACTTTGATATCGAGTTACATTAGATGGATGTTAAGACAGTGTTTCTTAATGGCTAATTGGTAAGATGATCTATATTGTGCAACCAGAAAACTTTATGTCCGAAACCCAAGAATATGGTTTGCAAATTAAAGAAATCCATCTATGAGCTCAAGCAAGCTTCTCGTCAATGGTGCCACAAATTTCATCAAGTAATTATCTCATTTGGTTTTGAGATGAATGTCATTGATTGATTTGGTTTTGAGAAGAATGTCGTTGATGATTGTGTGTATCACAAGTTCAGTGGGAGTAAACATATTTTCTTGGTTTTGTATGTTGATCACAGACTGCTTGCCACTAACGATATAGGCATGCTGCACGACATCAAGAGATCTTTATCAAGGAATTTTGAGATGAAAGATCATGGTGACGCATCTTTTGTATTAGGGATTCGGATATATCGGATCGTTCTTGAGGTATTTTTGAATTGTCACAAAAGAGCTATATCGATAAGGGAGACAACTTTAGTCTCAAAAAATGCCCACAAAATGGCCTTGAAGTTAAGGAAATGCAAAATATTCCCTGTGCATTAGCTATTGGGAGTTTAATGTATGCTCAAATTTGTACACGTTCATATATAACATTCAATGTTGGAATGCTAAGTAGATATTTAAGCAATCCTGGGATGGATAACTGGAATGCACCAAAAATGTTATGAGGTATTTAAAGAGAATAAAGGATTACATGATTACGTATAGCAGATCGGATCAGTTAGAGATCATAGGGTACTTCGATTCTGATTTTGCTGGATTTCAAGATAGTAGGAGATTCACATCAGGCCATATCTATCTGCTAGCTGGATGAGCTATTTCCTAGAAGTGTGCCAAGCAGACACTCACAGTTTCTTCTACCATGGCAATAGAGTTTGTAACATGCTATGAAGCATTTAACCATGGAATATGGCTACAAAATTTTGTCACTAATCTAGGCATTCTAAACGGCATAGAAAGACCGCTAAAGTTATATATTGAAAACAACTCAACAGTTCTATATTCAAACAACAACAGAAGCTCATCTAAGTCAAAACACATTGAATTCTTGGTTGTGAAAGAAAGAGTACAGAGTAGATAGATCTCCATATAGCACATTGGAACAAACTCCATAATTACTGATCCACTTACTAAGGGATGCCACCTAAGATCTTTCATGAGCACACTACTAGTATGGGTATTGTATTTCTTGAGGACATCATATTCTAGGGGAGTTTGTATTCTCATTGCGTTATGCATAGTTTTGGGGCATATTTGTATATTTGGATATTGTTCTGTATAGAAATAAAGTATTCAGCTCATTCCACTCTGTTATTATATTAAGTATTGATCTCAATTAAGAAATAAGGTTGGACCAGTTGGAAATAGATTTGTTCGGATCACATAACATGTAATTTCCATACCACACTCCCATGATTGATTTATGTCATTTCGTTGTATGTGTGTACGTGACCATTAATGGATATAGTCACGCTAAATGTGACGAATATCACTTTGATCCTATATCAATATAACTGAAGGATGAGATTGTTTGGAAATATTCTTAATAATGATAGCTGAATTTCGAGCTCATGAAGTTGAGAACATTTGTAATATTACATGTATAGCCCAATGGGAGATTGTTGAAAAAATTCCAACATATGGGGCCATACTTGTGTATATATTCATTAAAATGTGAGGTACTATTTTAAGGCTTAGTTAATAAAGTTAATAAAGTGATCTGTTAAAGTCAATTTTCGGAATAATGGGTATTAAATGTCGTGGAAATAAAGTGTAGAGATCGGAAGAGGTTATTTTAAATTGATGAGGGACCAATTTGAAATAACACAAAATTAATAACTGCATAATGCAATTATTTATCATGGTGTCATGGTTTCCAATTGTAGGTGATTTTATTTTTTCTGCATCTCTATCTACAGAGAAGAAATTCCAAGGAAATTACGTAACAATTGAAAGATCATAACCTACTCAAAATACTTACATCTATGGATCAAGGTACGCTTTCGCTTTTAATCTTCTCTCTAATTTAAACATGGAGGATTTTTGTAATTTTGTGAAAGGATTTGATAAAATTTTGGTTCCTTTCAATTCCTTCAGTAGCTTCATTTTAAAGTGAAGTACTTCATTCTCTTTCACTCATGTTTTCTAGGCTACTGTACCAAAAATCAGGATTAATATTTGAATCAGCAACTGCAACAATGTCTCTACAATTGAAAGTCGTGTAAAGAGTTCCAAATTTACTTTCTCAACATGGTTTCTTTGTGACTTTCAAAGCTCCAATATAGAAAGTCAAATTATGATTTTCATCATCAAATTGTCCATCTTAGATCAGATTACACATTAGCTTAAGTACATATTTTACCTTATGAATTTTTTAAATAGGCCCATTTGACATCCTCAAACTGATATCACAAATACTGACAATATCCATAGGTTCTCCATCAGCAAGATATACATATCTATAGTTTCCCAAAACATTATCCTCTATAATCTCATGATATGTAGTGGTGTAGACTCCTAAATTCATCATCTAAAAATCAATAGACTATCTACCGACAATTTTAAGCACCTTGTATACAGGGGTGAATGTAGCTTATGGCCAGCTAGGGCCGCCCTAGCTGGCTTCACCGGAACCGCCACGCCGACAGCCGGAAAAACAGGTTTTTTTTTCCTTCAGAAATCAGAATTCCGGTAAAACAGTTTTTTTTTTTTTTTTTTTTGGCCTGTTGGGCTGTTGGCTATTGGACTTGGGCACTTGGGCTTCAATTTTTTTTTTAAAATCCGGCCCATTAAAGATGCCCAAATGACCTGCCTGCTCCACTCCAATATACCCACAATTTACAACCCGAAGCAGAGACGGGCGAAGACGGAGTGACCAAATTGAAGATTCAAGGTTGAAGGTTCCTATATTTTTCCCCAAATTGCTACCAGCCTACCACCCACCAATCCATTACCTGATTACCATTAATACCATTTACCAATCTAGGGCTCTCCCCGACCCCGACTCCCCGTCTTTTTACATACGTCCAGTAGCCATGCAGTGAGGCAGCCAGCAGACGCTGCAGTGCCAGTGCGCCACCAGCGCCACTCGCCCGCTAGATCGCCACCGCCGAGTCCAGATTGTCTGGCGTCTTCTTCAAAAAATGCAAGATTCTTTTAAACTTTTAGTTATTTGATGAATTGATTATTGATGTTCGGTGATTCTGATTCATGCTATTGTCATATTGATCTAATTTTCCAAAAATCTTGGATTTCATTTTGGCTGCACTCTCCAGTCCAGGCTCCAGCACTAAAAATTTTCACATTTTTATATATTTTGCAAATTGCAATACTTGTGGGAATTTATTAAAGTGATTAACTGATTATGTGAACTTCGAAGTGAATCTATGAATGAGTTGAATTTGCAATACATTTTTATATATTTTGCACTACTGATTATGTGAACTTCGAAGTGAATTTGTGAATGAGTTGAAAATGCTATTGTACTGCACTCTACGGCATCCATTGGACAATTTAGACCAGATGTTAATTTATTTTCTTCTTTAATGCTATTGTACTGGATCCTATTGTATTGTCTATTGAGAAAATGAAAATGAAAATTGTTGAATTGTTGATCATCAGTGGAGGGGATTTTTTTGTTGAATTGTTGATTTTTTAATCAATTGTAATTGAAAATTAAATTGGGGCATTTTGCAGATTATGGAACGATTTTTTCAACCGAAACGAAAGTCTATACCTAGTTCTCCTAGTTCTAGTTGTGCTTCTAGTCCCGCCACTGCTTCTAGCCGAGCACTCGAGTTATTAAATAGCACAAAGAAGTCTCGGGCTCAATTCAATGTAGATGATCTTATATCTGATCCAGGAAAACGTCCCCCTATCGAGTCATATGATCCTAATATCAGAAATGATGTTAGGATGACATATTTGCAAAAAGGTCCTTGTCAGCCACATGGACATGACTTTTCAAGGAGACGGATAGGAAATGATAATAGGTGTTTTCAAAGAGAATGGTTTTCTGAATTTTATTGGTTGAAGTACAGTATAGAAAATGATGCGGCTTATTGTTTGCATTGCTACTTATTCAAACCAGATAGAGGTGGTCAAGGGGGTGGACATATATTCACTAAGACTGGCTTTAGGGATTGGAAGCACAAAATTACATTGAAAGATCATGTCGGGCTCATTGATAGTGCTCATAATCAAGTTTTTGCAAAGTGCACCAATTTGATGAATCAAAAGCAAAGTATCTCCCATGTTATTTCTAGCCAAATTAGTAGTCAACAAAAAA